CCTGACACAGAACTTTTAAGTCAGATGGTAAGGAAGTAAAAACCAGGAGACTTTGGTTCCTACTCAGCTTTCATCTACTCAAGACAGACTGCATGCCTCAGGCTTGCCAAACACCACGCAGACTCCACCTACAGAAACTCGCAAAGCATCCAGACGAAGACAAGGCCATCTGAAATGGGAGTCTAAGCTCACAGGCTGAGTGCAGAACTGAGATACAAACCGTGGCATACACACTTCAAATCAAGCCATTTTCAGGACTAAATTCTGAGACTTACATAAAAAGTTAAAAAAAGAGACTTCCATCAAGGGTAAGGGATGAATGTATATGCCATTTCCCTTTCCAACTTTAATCTCCATACCCCAAAATTCTAGAAGCATCCTACCCAAACCCACTCCCAAATCAGTCAATGACAATGTCGTATCCCTGGGACAGTAAAAGTAGCTGAGTATCATAACTTTAGTACATCAAGATGTGAGTAATGAGCTGATGGGGAAAGCCTTGTTAACCAATACCCTTTAAGAGGTGGAACCTAGGTTAGGTGTGGCTTTCTGGGACCAAGAGAAAAGAATCTGTGCACCACCCAGGTGTGCTCTGCGTAGTTTCCCCCCCCACCCCGTGGTCAAGCAGGGCCTGGATCTTCCATGCCTGTGGGTGAGTTTCTCCCTTGTAATAAATAAAATATATTTGTCTATCTTTTAGCTACCCTGGTTATTTCCATATCAAGGTAACAGCGACAACAAGCCTATAGCTAAATAATATATAACACTCCTAAGTATATTTCCAAACATGTATATAATGTAAATAAGATTTTGTAAGAAACTTTTATTCTTATTTTTGGTTGGGAAAAGATTATTCCCAATGAAATGTTGATAAGTAAAATTAAAAAAAAGGTAACAAGTTCTTGTAGACTATCTTGGTACAATTGTATATATTAAGAAATGAGCTAGGTAGTAGTGGCACACACCTTTAATCCCAGCACTTGGAAGGCAGAGGCAGGTGGACCTCTGGGAGTTCAAGGACAGCCTAGTCTACAGAGTTAGTTCCAGGACAGGCTCCAAAAGAACAAATAACAAAAACAAAACAAAAGAACAAAAACAAACAAAAAAAAACCCAAAAGAACAAAGAAGCCGTGTCTCAAAAACCCAAAGAGAAAAGAGAGAGAGAGAGAGAGAGAGAGAGAGAGAGAGAGAGAGAGAGAAGAAAAAAGAAGTAAGTGGGGTTGGAAAGTCGAGCCCCAGCACCATGTCGGGCAGCTCAGAAGTGCCTGTAACTCCGCCTCCAGGAAATTCAGTGCCCACTTCCAGCCCAGGCACTACAGGCATGTGCACAACCCCCCCCACACACACACATAATTAAAAATACAAATAAAATACTGAAAAACATAAGAAGAGGCAGCACTTAGGGGAGCTGGCAAGACGGTTCAGCAGGTAAAGGCACCTGTTGAGACCAACAGCCTGAGCTTCATTCCTGGAGTCCATATGGTGAGTAAGAACCAGCTCCTGCAAGTTGTGTCTGATCTACATACACTTGGCCACACACAGAGTGTATGTAAAAAGTACTTGTAATTATTTTTCTTTTATTCGAGACAGGGTTTCTCTGTGTGGCTTTGGAACCTATCCTGGAGCTAGCTCTTTGTAGACCAGGCTGTCCTCAAACTCTCAGAGATCTGCCTGCCTCTGCCTCCCGAGTGCTGGGATTAAAGGCGTGCACCACCACTGCCCAGCGATATTATTTTTTTCAAGTTTGGGAGCTGGGCCTGCAGCTCAGTGATATAGCATACAAAGCCTGGGTTCAGTTTCCAAAGAAGAAGGAAGTAGGAGGAAGGAAAAAGAACAGAGGGAGGAGGAGGAGTGCAGGAGCTGAAATCTCATCTGGTAGCAAGAGTATTACTGTACGTCATTTTACTTTCAAAGTGCAAAAGTAAATCACTATGTACACTATGTTTAGGGAGATGACACAAATCTGCTTAACTCAGGAAAACCGGAGACGGTTTTTTAATTCTCCAGTTGACTTTAAGAAATGCAGACACAGTTGCTGCTTGCAGGCATGAACTCACCTGCATAAGCAACAAGCCCACTATGAAAGCACTGCCTTGACAGTAGCCAACCTCACGATCCACCAAGGAGTAGGCCTAGAAAGTAAAACATGGTGTTCAAAACACTTCAACGTGCATATTCTATGTCTTCCTTCTCCAAAACCTAAAATTGGTGAGACAGTTAAATTAAAAGTCCATTTATTTGTTTAGAAAAGTTCTTGCTTACTTGTTACAGATGTTATTCTAAAAATATTTAAAAAGCAAATGGTTTATTACATAAAACTTCTCTGAACAATTTCTCACTTAGAAAGTGGCAGCTCCTAAGAGCAAAGGAAATGAAGCAATCATACTCAGGAAAGGACAGAGATGAACACAGTACAGTGACGGCAAACAACAAAATTCAAATAACTTAAGAAACTGGTATTTCACAGAGGAAAAGGGGAGAAAAACTATGAAAATGCAGTATTAAAAAGGCAACAGTAAATTTTTAAAGGACTGAGCACGCTTAACAAGTAAAGCCACTATCGCAGACCACGAGGTTGAGGCATATGAAGTATCTACTCCCACACTGAAAAGGCCGGTGAGAGAGGGTTAATTTTGTCAACTAATGATAACTAATGTGATGAATTTTTCAATTAGTTCTCCAAACTACCGACGATGAGGCATCAGAATTAAAGCAGAAAGTATACTAAAACTAAGTCTACTGACCAAGAACCTGATTCTTATGATGGGAGTTTACGCTTCATTATGGAAACGTGTAATTTCAACCTCCTTCAAACTCATTTCACTTCAAAACATAAATAACTATCACTTACCTTCATCACATTAAATAAAACCTCCTGTCCCAGGCTGTCTTTTTCCTTAAAAAAGTTGTGTTCTGGGTAAGTTCTAGCAATGTCTCTTCGGATCAATTTTTCACAAGGTGAAGTCATTTTCAGGAGTTCTGAATACTGGTCCTTAATTGACATACTCTGTGCATTACACAAAAGCTGCCACACTATTGCTCTGAAGTGGTGGGGTATCCCTTTACGAACAAGCTCCTGAAAATAAAAGGAAAGCAAAACGTAAATGTCTCATACCTTGCTACCCAACCGTTCTGGGGAGGAGTGTTGGAATGGAAAAATGAATCATGTTTATAATTTACAAAGCTTGTTTACTAATAAATATGAAATTCTTTAAAGAAGTCTAAGATGTGACCCTTGGGTACGTTCTGATCAGGAGGAGCTACAGAGCCTCGGATAAATTGTCATCTGACTGGGAATGTGGGGTCTTAAGGACCTGATAGTCCACAGAGCTACATATCAAAGGGCTGCCAGAGGACAAATGGCAAATACTGATAGAGAATGCCATGACTTCATTTCTGAATTAACAACATGGGAGTTTAACTGATTTCTAAAAATAATTTTTAATTGTGAATGTCTACATTTTCAGGATCCCTACAACAGCCCACAAGCACAGATGATAAACACATATAAAGCAAACCTGTACACAACACAGCTCAGAAATTCCTAGAATCCTTCTGTTTTACCTAATCCGCTAGTAATCCACACCTGCACTCTCCAGGGTAGAGGAGAACTCCAGCGAACAGTGCAAATACCTTCACTTGCTTCTCTTTCTTCTTCCGTGCATCATCCCATTCATTCACAATCCTTCCCCAAAGAATCCAGGAGTCTTCTTCCAGGTGGCTGAGGTTGCTGGAGGCAGAGGAACTTGATACAAGAGAAGAGCCACTGTTTCTTCTTGACCCATTCACAGATCTTAAAGACTTACTATCAGTCTCTATCAATCTAAAACAGAATTAAAATTGTTTATCATCTCACATGAAACTAGACGAAGTAGGGATTGCATTTAAAACTTCACTAAATAATTCGTCCTTAAAACACAAGTTTTAAAACATGTTTGGTTAGTTGGTTAGTTTTCTGAGACAGGGTTTCTCTCTGTAGCCCTGACTGTCCTGGAACTCACTTTGTAGACCAGGCTAGCCTCAAATTTAGAGTTCCTCCTGCCTCTGCCTCCTGAGTAGATTAAAAGCGTGCACCACCAAGCTGGCTTTCAGATACAGTTTTAACAATTTTTGTTTGGTTGAAATCAGTACTGTTGTATTTTTTTTTTACTATACACAGCAGTTTCAAACACTGAATTGGGAAGGTGTACTACAGCATTCTAATACTATCAGCCCCATTATAATTCATACTCATTTCCATTGAGTTCAATGGGAGGCTCCTGACACACACACAGCACTCTCCCGACTCCACATGTGTGCTGCAGGAACCCTCCCTCCAACACACACATATACACCAAATACTTTAAGATAAAAACCAAGAAGGGAGCCAGCACAGTCATGTTCAGCTACTCAGGAAGCTGAGGCAAGAAGTTCACTTAACCCCAAGAGATTTTAAGACCAGTCTGGACAACAGAAATGAAAAATCCTTATCTCAAAACAATTCAAGGACCAATGAAATGGCTCAAAAGGTAAAGGTTCTAACTGATGACCAGAGTTCAACCCCTGGGATTCACATGGTAGAAGTAGAGAATCAATTCCCACAAGTTTTCTTCTGATGTCCAGATGTATGCCCCCTCCGAACAATCGATCGATAGATAGATGTAATTTTAAAATGTTTTAAATTCTGATTAGTAAATGGAGGTGGGAGGAGGTGACTCCAAGAGAGAAAGAACATATATTTGTAAAAGTTTCAACAGAATCTATGGATTTACTAATCCTTAAATCCTACCAAGTATACTGTATGACCAGACCAAATCCCTTCTTTTTTTCCTGTTTCACACAATGTGTGTGTGTGTGTGTGCTGACAAATATACATTGTAAAGATATGGCCAAACCAGGCCCCAATTCCTAGTCAATAACAACAGGATTACAACAAGCACCCACTCTCAGTACTCCCTTGGCCACAGGCCAGGTTAACTGATAGCTTTGACCATCACTGAGCTTGTCCTGTAAAGCTGGGGTTTTTCTCTTAAGATTCCTGTTGACTTTTGAGTTTGCAGCCCTGTCTTAGGCTCCTCTCTAAAGAAAGGTGATTAAGGGAATGAAAACCATCTATACCATAACTCATAACTCATTACAATAGTAAGTTCCTAATTTCAATTGCATATTCCTGGGTTATAAATGAAATCTAGGAAATGTTCTATAAAAATATAAATTATAAATGGTTCAGATAGGAAGAATCCTAAAATGTTTATTTGTTTATTTAATGTCACTTCAGTAAATTCTCAAGAACAATCATCTGTTTGGGGTATACAAATGTTCTCAGTACTATTTTAAGAAATATGAAAAGTGAGGCTGAAAAAGAAATATGAGTCAATTCCTATGCCTTCTGGGAGTCAGAGAGATTTATAACACATGCTACAGCCCTTATAGTATTTAACCCACTGCAAGTACATTAAGCCAAAAGAATGTCATAATCTCAGAGTTTTGAAAACCCTGTACATTCTAGATATGTCACAATGTATGACACCATATTATAAATTATAAAAACAATTTTATCCTTATTTGGAGAAAAATACCATATTTCCATAGCAACAATAATTTAAATAACTTTAAATTTTCCCAAATATTGTTATAAACGAAGCAGAAGGGAAGATAATGAAGTGGGCGATACGCACCTGAAGAAGATTCGTTGTCTGTAGTCAATGCAGAAATATAATTTAAACCACACCAACTACACATTAACACAGCTACAACTCTCAAGTCTCAACGTACAAAATGTCAACCAGCACGGAGCTAATGTGACTCCCACAAACCAGTATCAGAAGTATAAAATGAACATGAACCACTATTTCCTGGGACCCCAACAAACAATGCAGCAGACACAGCTCCCCCTTTGTGTGGGACCACAACCAGCCTGCAGGATACCCGCTCACAACTACACCCCCAATTGCCTTCACAGGATTCCCTTGGATCTTTCCTGAAGCTGCTCTCAGCCTTTGCTCCTAGCCCATCTCTATTCCTCTCTGCCACCCACTGACCTAAGAAGCACTCCCTCAATACCAGGGAACCCACACTACCACACTCTCCTAAGATCCAAAGAAGGCAGCAGAAACCAAGGAATGGAACAACACTCACTCCAACAAAAACAAGACCAGATATCAACATCTACAGGCAACTCAACCACCCTAACCCCAGATGCCTAGACACAAACACAAACGGCCAAGACAATATGCCTCCAGCAGAGCCCAGTAACCCTACTCCAGCAGGGAATACTGCTGAAGTACAAAACCAGGACTCAAAACAGCCAATTATGAACATTATTAAGGATCCTAAAGAGGATATGAGTGAATCCCTTAATGAAGTCTATGAAGACACAAGCAGTGGAAGGAAACGAATAAAACAGTTCAAGACCTGAAAGTGCAAACGGAAGCACAAAGAAAACTCAAGTGGAAAAACACCTGAATCTCCACGGAAATTCTAAAAGCCAGAGGGCCTGAGGGATGAATGTCCTACAAACTCTAAGAGATCACAGATGCCAGCCCATATGACTATATCTAGGAAAACAATCAATACAATATATGGAGAAAGAAAATTTTCATAATAAAACCAAATTTAGACAGTGTCTATCTATATTACTAATTCAGCTCTATGGAAGGTGTCACAAGAAAAGTTTCAACCTGAAGAGGTTACTCACACCCAAGAAAACACAAAGAATACATAATCCCAAACCAGAAAACCAAATGGAGAATGAAAACGCCACACTATCGCAACAAAATAAAAGGTATCTATAAACACTGCTCACTAAAAACTCTCAATATTAATAACTCAATTTCCCCCAATAAAAAGGCATTGACTAACAAATTAGAAAGCAGGATCCACCCTTCTGCATTCAAGAATCACACATTAATATCAAGGATAGATATTGCTTAGAGGAAAACGATAGAAAAACATACTTTAAGCAAATAGAACCAAGAAGTTAGCAAGTATAGCCATTTTAATATCTGACACAGTAAGCCTTCAAAACAAAACTAATCAGAAGAGATAGAAAAGGAAGGACACAACATTCTCAAGGAAAAATCCACGAAGAGGATACTGCAATTCTAAACATGCATGCACCAAACACAAGGGCATAAAAGAAACACTACTGTGGTGGCATTTTGTTCGTATTAATAAAGCTTGCTTGCCTGAAGATCAGAAAAGTAAAGGAGCCACACTGGCCAGCCCTACAGACCAGGCAGTGGAGACACATATCTTTAATCCCAGTAGCCAAAATGACACACACCTTTAATCTGAGTAGACACACTAATTTGCCACACAAACCAGGCAGTAGTGGTGCACGCCCTTAATCCCCCCCCCCAAAAAGTCTATCAACCAAAAACGTCCAGGGCCAGATGGTTTTAGTGCAGAATTCTACCAGACTTTCAAAGAGTAAACCCCAATATTCTTCAAATTATTACACACAAGAGAAACAGAAGGAGTACTGCCCAATTCTTTTTATGAGGCAAGTTACTCAGATACCTAAACCAGATAAAGACCAATAATAATTGTGAATAATCTTTTTGATATGTTCTTGGATTTAGTTTGCAAGATTTTATTGAGAATTCTTGCATTATGTTCATAAGGGTAATTCACAATTATCAAGTAGGCCTCATCCCAGAGATTCAGGGATGATTCAACACACGTAAATTGATAGATGAAATCTACCATAAACAGACTAAAAAGCAAAAACCACATGATCATCTCATTAGATGGAAAGGCCTTTGACAAAAACCCAACATTCCTTCATGGTAAAAGTACTGGAGAGAGTAGGGACATACCTCAACATGGCAAAGGCAATTCACAGTAAGCCCACAGTCATCATCAATTTAAATGGAGAGAAACTCAAAGTATTTCTACTAAAATCTGCAACAAGACAAGGCTGTCCACTTTCTCCATACTTCTTCAAGACAGTACTTGGAAGTCTTAGCTAGAGCAATTAGACAATTGAAGGAGATCAAGGAGACACAAATATGAAAAAGTCAAAGTATCTTTATTTGCAGATGATATGATTTTATACGCAAATGACCCTAAAAACTACCAGGAAACTTCTACAGTTGGTAAATACTTTCAGCGAAGAAACAGGATACAAAATGAACATACAAAAATCAGAAGCCTTCCCATACACAAATAACAGACTGAAAAAGAAATCAGGGAAACAGTACCCTTACAACAGCCTCAGAAAATAAATATATACACAAACTTGCAATAACTCTAAACACTCAAGCAAAACCCTTGCATAACAAAAATTTTGAGACACTAAATAAAGAAATCAAAGAAGATATTTAAGACAGTGGAGAGATTTCCCCCATTCATTGATCGGTAGGATTAATATGGTGAAAATGGTCAATCCTGAATAATAGAACAATTGCTGAAGGTGTCGCCATCCCAGATTTCTAATTGTACTACAAACTGAGAGTAATAAAAACAGCATGGTATTGGCATAAAAACAAGCACACTGATCAATGGTATCAAACTGAAGACCCAGACACAAATCCACACACCTATGGACACCCAGTTCTTGACAACAAAGCAAAAAAATACACACTGAAAAATGGATAGCATCTTCAACAAATGGTGCTGGTCAAACTGGATGGCTGCATATAGAAGGAAGCAAGTAAAACTATAGCTAGCTCCTTGCACAAGACTCTACTCGAAACAGAACCATGATATATAGTTACAGAGAGACAGTTGGGGGGGGGGGGTGCTGAAATAAAAGGATGGAATGTCAAGGAAGGACACCGAACATTAAGGATCATTTGAAGGGTTCTACAGAAACCTATTCCTATAGAAACTACTTAAAGAAATTTATACACACACATTTGTGTGTATGTGTGTGTGTATATACACATACATGTGTATATATGTATGTCCATATGTATATACATATGTGTACATAGATGTGTATGTATGTGTATAAAAAGAAACCTAAATGGAGTGCCCCAGCTAAACATCTTTCATCACCAAATCAAATTTCCAGTGCCAGGAATGGGTTCCATTCCCATGGGAATAGTGCCCTGCCTGCATAAAATGCTAGTGCAATAATAGTACAAATGTTGTGGACACAACCAACCACTGTCGGATTGGATTTCAGGCCAACTCCTTGAGATGGAACCCAAGCCTGACACTGCTGTAATAGTAGATAGGCCACAGGCCCACAGTAAAACCAAACACTGGATCTGCTAAAGTAACATAGCAACAAAATGATCCCTCACAACATTCTGCTGTGCACACAGATCAGTGTTCAGTTAGTATCTGAGAGACTTCCTTGCAGTAGACGGAACTAACACAGAGACCCAATCTGGATAATGTACAAAGAGTGAACGACCCTGGACACTCAGTCCTGAATGGGATGTCTTCGGCGCTACATGGAAGAGGAGGCAGAAAGACACTGTCCAGGTCAGATAAGGTCCCCGTGCCGAGAGGTGGCGTGACCATGATCTCGTTATCTTCTACTGACACCACTTGCAAAGGAAAAATTAACTAATCACTAGTTAGATGACCCACACTTACGGCAACACCCATGCTCAGCAGAAGGTGGCCAGCACTAACTAACTAAATGGTGTTTTTATGATTTTTTTTTTTGGTCTCATGCTGCTTTGAGCATTTTTTTTTTTTTTGGTTATCTTCCTGGTCTTTTTCTTGTGTATTATGGCTTCCAATTTTGTATTATTATGGGTTTTGTTTTTATATCTGTGTTTCTTGTGCTTTTTAGTTTTTGCTGTTCATTCTGATTTGATTTTTTTTAAATATTTATTTTATGTACATTTAGTATGAAGGTGTCAGATTTCCTGGAACTGGTGTTATAGGCAGATGTGAGCTGCCATGTGGGTGCTGGGAATTGAACCCTGGTCCTCTGGGAGAACAGCCAGGGCTCTTAACCGCTGAGTCATCTCTCCAGCCCTGATTTGATTTTTTTTTTAACTAGCCTGTTTGTTTCCTAAAGAAAGAAAGAAGGCAGAGTTGGCACTCAAAATATAAATGTAAATGCCTTTTATTGCTGCAAATTTTCCAAAATGTTTAAAATGATGTGAATTACTTAGTGAAAGATTATTTTGGTACCCTCTGTAAAGAGAAGAGGTGTCAACACTTATCTGCACTTGGAATTCTCTTTAAAAAATCTCTAAAAAAATAAAATTATTTTGTTAAAAAATGAAAGAAGTCCTCCGTCTGAGATTTCAAACACTTGTGGAAGAGGTGATACATCAAGTCTCTTCTCAGAGAACTGCATTCGTCCACGGTTTGTTCAAAGTAAACCAAAGGTACTTTGGTAACCTGGTGACAGCTGCATCACGACATCATAGCACAATACATTATGACTTTATGATGATGGTGATGTTACAAAAGAAAAAACCCTACTACGCTACCAATCACATCATCCCCGACCAACTGTCACCCTCCCAGGCTGTCCCATCCGCGTCGGCCTGTGGCACCAGGCTGCGGCCAGGCTGTCGGCACGAGCCCGGGCAGGGGCTCCGGCGGAGGGATCCGCAGAGGCGAGGCTACGGTCTCTTCGGTCTCGGAAGAAGAGACCGCTTCTGCGGCAGCACAAAAGGGGGCGGCTGCAGGGTAATGTGCCAACCGATGTAAAGACAGATACTGTGTCCACTGTGGCTGGACCGGAAGCTGAGCGGGCCTCGGCCCTCTACACATCCTGCCAGGGCCAGGCCAGAACTGCCCACCTCCTCTTCCGCAGCTGATTCACAGCCGACAAGGCAACCTCAGGCCCTGCCTCATTCCACCAAAGGCCCACCAAGACAGCCTTCCGCCCACCATGGCTCTGAAGAGAATCCATAAGGAACTGAACGACCTGGCGCAGGATCCCCCAGCACAGTGTTCAGCAGGTCCTGTCGGGGAAGATATGTTCCACTGGCAAGCTACAATCATGGGGCCAAATGACAGTCCCTATCAGGGCGGAGCATTTTTCTTGACGATTGATTTCCCAACAGAGTACCCCTTCAAACCACCTAAGGTTGAGTTTACAACGAGAATTTATCATCCAAACGTGAACAGTAACGGCAGCATCTGTCTTGATATCCTTCGCTCGCAGTGGTCTCCAGCACTGACTATTTCAAAGGTGCTTCTGTCCATCAGTTCTCTGCTGTGTGACCCCAATCCAGACGATCCCCTAGTGCCTGAGATTGCTCAGATCTACAAGACAGACAGGGAAAAGTACAACAGAACAGCTCGGGAATGGACTCAGAAGTATGCCATGTGACTAAAGAGATTATTGGATATCCTCTACAAGTCAAGGCTCGGGGAACTCTGAACGAGAACGGCCTTCTGATTCCCACTGGACTGTTTGCTATGAACCCACGCTGCACCGCTTCATCCTTCCTGGTGCAGGTTCTTCACCTGACACAGTACTGCTGCAAGCTGTGCTTCTGTACCAACACTGTCTCCTAGCACAGTAACCAAGATGTGAGATTAAAAGTTTTCCTCATTGACTTAAAACTGAGTAGCCACAGTGTGAGGGGTGGTGGTGCATCACACTGCTTAGAAGGGGTAAAGCTCCATCAGCCTGTAGATGGTGAGACTGCTTTAAGTGGAAGCCATTTAAATTTTAAAAAGTTATGAAAAGCTGGGTGAAGAATGTGAAAGTTTCTGTATTCATTTTATTCCATAACACCTAGAATTAGATGAACACTAAAACCAACCAGATTAAATCCAACTCACCACCTGTATTTTAAGGTTTAATTGGTCAAGAAAAAATAGATTGGTGCTATTAGTCTATAAAGTGTGATTGGCTTTGTTCCCAAATTCTTTATACCCCGACTCAACCTCCTTTCTTTCAGTCTTTCTCTCCATGTTCCTTGATGTATTTGTGGTTTCTCAGTAGATACATACAGATCACTAACAGTGCTTATTTTTCTTATGTTAACTGCTTAATCCATTTGGATTTAAGGGTGAAAATTCCATTTGATGAAAAAAAAAACCTGTACAAAGACCCAATTGCTCCTCTGTAGCTTGTACATTCAAGAATGATTAATCTGTGTAATAAACTGACTCCTCCATCATTACATAAATGTTAATCTGTGTAATATCCAACTGTTCCAGGCACTGCATAAATGTTAATCTGTGTAATAAACCAACTCCTCCGTCATTACATAAATGTTAATCTGTGTAATAACCAACTGTTACAGCCACTGCATAAATGTTAATCTGCGTAGTAAACCAACTATTCCAGACATTACATAAATGATAATCTGTGTAATAAACCAATTATTCCAGCCATTACATGTTAATCTGTGTAATAAACTCTATTCCAGCCACTGCATAATGTTAATCTGTGTAATAAACCAACATCTCCAGACATGACATAAATGATCTGTGTGATAACTGTTCCAGCCCCTGCATAAATGTTAATCTGAATAGCTCCAGTCACAGAATACATTTTGTGTGAGTAGGTATTTTTGCTTTAAGAACCTTATTTGGTTGAAATTAGTAGATTTTTTCATTCAGTTTTTACATGCTTTTATTTAGATTGATCACATTTTCAAATCATGAAACAACTGCAGTTTATAGCTAAAAAGACACCTTAAAAGTAATTTTGGTCAGGCATTGTGGCGCACGCCTTTAATCCCAGCACTCGGGAGGTAGAAGCAGGTGGATCTCTGTGAATTCAAGGACAGCCTAGGCTACACAGAAATACCATCTCAAAAATAGAAAAAAAAGTAATTTTATTAAATATGATAGAGGAATAAGTTTAAAGGCTTATGAAATAATATAGCCTCTGAGGAAAAAAGCTTAAATAAGAAACTAGCTTTGTTAATGAAACTAAGTTGCATTATACCCAAACCTCATGGCATTCTTTGGTACATATATAAAACACAAAAACAATACTGGTACTGAGTAGTTAAAAAAAAAAAAACTTTGACTAAACTTAGAAAACAACACCATCATACAGTTAGGATGTCTGCATAATTACTTTGCACTAACTTTTACTGGATGTCCACCCAATTTTAAATTCTGCTGTGTATGTAGCTTTTGGTGTATGTGCGTGCATGCTGCATGTAGCGTGTGTGTGTGTGTGTGTGCATATGCGTGTGTGCATGAGCATGCTGTGTGTAGATTGCGTGTGTGGCTTTTTTTTAAATATTTATTTTATTATGTATACAGTATTCTGTCTGTGTGTATGCCTGAAGGTCAGAAGAGGGCACCAGACCCCATCACAGATGGTTGTGAGCCACCAAGTGGTTGCTGGGAATTGAACTCAGGATCTTTAGAAGAGCAGGCAATGCTCTTAACCTCTGAGCCATCTCTCCAGCCCGTGTGTGTGGGTTTTTGAAGTCTTCCCCAACCATACTCTAGTAAAACCTTGAAACATGTCAACTGTATGTCTGAAACATGATTCTTTTCCTAATGTAACTGTAAAAACAAAGCCAATATTCAGTCATGTTGATGTTCTCTAGACATCAGGTTCTTAAAAATGAATCTTTATACTGCCCCCCCCAAAAAAAGCTGAAAAAATTCCAGTTTTTAATTGCCATGAATAAAAAGACAAAATAGAAACTACGTTGCGTGCTTATATATTGACTACACTAAACCCTTTTATCATTATTTTAAAGTATACTACTATCTTTGTAAAAGGGGGAAAAGTAATTATAAAACAGCCTCAGGGTAGATTCTAGAAGAAAAGCATTGCTTAAATTTGGTTTGGTTTGGTTTTGGTGTGTGAGTTGGAGAGGACATCGCTACACAATTGAACGGCCTCTGCAGACCTTCCAGTGCGACAGGAGGGACAAATAAAAGAAACAATGGTAAATCCTGACTTGGTCTAGACGAATAGATGTATGCGTGCATGTATGCCTGTGCTTATGTGCACGTGTCTTTTTAACCAAATTTTAAGCAAATTTTTAAAGTTTAAAATTTATATGATAATAAAAAGGTATTTTTGTACACTTGCACATTGTTTTAAGCCAGTTTTTATATGCATAAGAGCCAACAACTAAGCTGAGAGATGGTGGCGCACTCCTTTAACCCCAGTACTCGGGGGCAGAGGCAGGCAGATCTCTGTGAGTTCGAGGCCAGCCTGGGTCTACAATAGCTGGTTCCAGGACAGGCTCCAAAGCTAGAGAAACCCTGTCTCGAAGAAAAAAAAAAAAGGAGGGGGACAAAAATATCAAATTTCCAGTGTGGCAAAATACACCTGCAATCCCAGTACTTGGGAGGCTGACATAGGAGGTCACAAAATCAAGGCCAGCTTGAACCACTGCCAGGCACTGTGCCTACATTTGTAATCCCAACACATCAGGGGCAGGAACAGAAAGATCACAAGATGTTCAAGGTCAGCCTGGTCTGTGTGTGAGCACTAGGCCAGTCAGGGCTCTGTGTGAGACTGCCCACAAATGAATGAATAAACAGTCATATGCCTTAAATACACAGTTGTATTATGTATGTATAAAGCCTATGGAAGTGTAGCATCCTGGGCCTTCCTGCCCACCACTTCACTGGTGACTACAAAGCCTATGCTTTGTAAACCTGGCCTTCAAACTCACTCAGTTCTCACAAAGTGTGTATAAATCCTACAGCAGTGCAGCATATAGGTCTTCACATCCACTCACTGGCTCAGAGCCTGCAAGATGTGTGTGGTAAATGCAATACACAAGCAAGCCATTGTTAACTCTGATGCTGCCATTTGTCTGTGCGCCTTTTCTGTTTACATACACAAACGCCACTGTCTTATCATCAACTACATTATTTATACAATGTGTAGGTTTAGAGCCAAAAAGTAACCAGCAAGGTTGCATAAACACACTTTAAAGCTCACACATTAGGAAACCATCTAACAGTGCCTTCCCTAGGTCTGTCATCAAATGACACAGAATTATATTTAGACATGACAGTCAAGAAAAGCATTTATAAAAGCCTTAATATGTAGACTTTATAAAAATATATAATTAGAATCAAGCATTCTCATTTATTACTGTTAAATGAATTAGTATCTTAAAAATGCCCCCAAAACAGATGACCATGCAATTTCAACATAATTAGGAAATTACAATAGTGACAGAGGCCACACTTAAGGAGCCTGGAAACTGGGAGGCAGCATCACTGCAAGTCTGTGGCCACTGAGACAGTCCTCGAAAACTTACTCACTTGTCTACCACACATCCTACATGAAGTAGAGAATTGGGAAATACTATAAAAGGGAGGGTAGTTTAGGCTTTATTTCTAACAGATGAACTTTGCATCTTGAGTTCTGAGAACTGAACAGCATCAAGACTTTGCCGTTGTCAGGGAAGTAGTATCAGCATAGGCGTCACGGAACATATACGAACAGCAGTTTTTGTTTGAGGCTTTTATTAGGTTTGTTTTGAAAGTAGAGGTTGTTTACTTTGTATATGAACACCTTCATGCAAAAAGACATTAAAAGCAAAAACCCTGTGTAACACTGTGTAACTAACTGAAAAGTACAAAGGAGCCCTGGCCCCACCCACTCTCATCCTACCCCACCCTGCAGCTGGCAACCAGGCTGCCCATGAAATTACTGCTGCCTCAGTCCTAGAGAAACTCCTTTCTGCTGTGTGTGTGTGTGTGTGTGTGTGTGTGTGTGTGTGTGTGTGTGTGCAAGCGCGCTGAAATGCAGAAACACACATGTTCAAGTGTTAGCCTAAGTGACTACTAAATGCTCAGCCATAAAAGGAATATCTCTAGGACCTCCCCGAAGGCCCAGGGAGCATCCTAGAAGACAGCAGAAAAGACTACAAACAGGAGGGGAGCGTTGTGAGACACAGCTCTGAAAACAACATAGATGAAGGAACTGTCTGGGGAAAAGGATTTCAGGCGTGAGAGAGCTAGTAAAGGAGGAGGTACACACGCAAGGTGAGCTATACTACATACATGGATGAAACTGTCAAGAAATTAAAACAGCATCAACAGAGGAAAAGTTTTCAGGTATCAATATTTGTGCCTTGACGTACTTGGAAGATGTTCTTGTAGGCGGTACCGGCAGTTTGAAACACAAGCCTAAAGTTCAGGAAAGAAAAAGGTAAAGACTACAGAAATTTGGCAGCTGTGAACAGTACTTCAAATATCAGATGAGATTTGGCTCACTGTTTTCCTGTGGTTATCAGAGCAAAACACAACAGAACTAGTCAGCACACCACCTGGTGGTCTGCAAACCGCTAAGAGTTTATGAAGAACTAAGGTGGGAAAGCGCTGCATTGGAGAACCCTACGGAAAGTTTTCTAACTACTCTGGCAGTGAGAGCAGGGAGTCTTATCACAAAGTGAACAGTGTTTCCAGCATGAGGTTCCAAGGTCTCTAATATTACAACAAAACAGGATGTGAAACAGGCTGGGAGAAAGAAAATAATTTGTCAACTAAATGGTTATTAGCAAATCAGTTAAAATCTGCTCATTAGGATCTACCTGGGTCTGTAACAAAATAGAATTTATTTTGAAAAAAAAGGTAATTTATAAACAACGGGTATTTATTGTTCACAGTTCTGAAGCTGGGAAGTCCAAAATCCAAGCACTAATAATCAAGTCTGACGAGGGCATTTCTAACAGTGCCTTCTGTTAACGTGTTCACATGACAGACACTGCCAAAACTCCCTAAAGTCTTTTTTTAGAAAGCATTAATTCCATCCATGCGCACAGAGCTTTCCAAAGGTCTAACTTTATTATACTTCAGATTAAGTTCAACATAGGAAGAAGTTTTGTAGTCACAAACATTCAGATCACAGCAAAACTACATGCCTGACTCACAGGGGTCACATGCTTTCCAGGTGATACATACAAATTCCTCTCTAATCAATAATAAAAAAAAACAGAATTAACACAAAAGAAGTGTAAAAATAATAGATTTGAAAAACCAATTTCTTTGCTTTGTTTCTTTAAAATGACAGCTCCTGTCCAAGATTCCTTTACACAAAGAACTGAGGAGTAAATCAGCCATCCTCAGCCAGACATGACGGCTGACACCTATAACCCCAGCACTAGGAGGCTTGAAGCACGGCTAATGAAAACTCAAGAGACAGATACTGGGGTTCAACCTGAAGACCAGAAAAGCAAAGCAGCCAGCCTCTGGCTCTTACCTCTACCTCAGCCCCAAAAATGGCGATCCTGCCTCCAGGAATCTCAGAATGAGGCTGAGCCTAAGAGCTGTCTCCTCCCACCTTATAATCCTCTCTAGTCCTGGATCAAGGATATGCACCACTATAGCCCGGTTTCTATGGCAAGCTAGTGTAGCTACTGGGATTAAAGGTGCGTGTCACTGATGCCTGGTCTGTAAGGCTGGCCAGTGTGGCTGTTTTACTTTTCTGAACCTCAGGCAAACTTTATTTATTAAACATAAATATAAAATATAAGATGCCACTA